CCAGGAGGTTTAAAACCCAGCACTGAATGTGATCCTCTAAACACCTAGCACCATAGCACCACCAGTAGTAATCCCTGAGTGCAGAGCCCAGAGTAGTCCTGAACACTGCTGGCATGGCTCCAAAACAACACACCAAGAAATTACTGCCTTCTTCCCAAGGTACGTGTATATCTCTGCATGCACATTTTTCTTTCATACATCTTCAACTGTTCCCACTCTTTCTACCTCTGCCTATACATATAAACTCAAACCTCTTCTATTTGAAAAATACAAATTTAGGACTCTTCTGAGAGAATATCACACCAGGATAATTCTTCAGCTAATCAGTAACAAAATGCACTTCTTTAAAAAGCTCCTTGCATTTTTAGTCTAAAATCTTCAGATGCGTTATAGGACTTCATAATCTGGCTTTGCTTTTGTGTCTAACCTTACATTCTATCACTTCATAGTGCTGCACCCACAAATCAAATGAACTGTCAATTCAACTACCTGTCATTCTTTGAACACATGATCAACCCTTATAAGACTTTACACTAACTATTCTTCACCCATACATGCAACGTAGTCCAATCAAAATGCCAAAAAACTATGTTGTGTACATTAATAGCATTTATAGGAAACAAAAAAATCAAGTACTCTTGAAAGCTGGAGGACTATGTAATACCAAGTATAAGGCTAAAGTAAGTAAGACTATGAGCTACCAGAAAAACAAGTAAACACATCAATGGAAAAGAGTCCCTAAATGTACCACATATATAGAGATAATGTACTTTTGAACAATGAAGAAAAGATAATACAAAATAAAAAGACAGTATCTTCAACAAATGTTTGAACTGCTGGATATGTACCTGCAATAAAAATAAAAGCAGAACCAAACACAGACCTTATTCTTTGACAAAAATTAACTGAGAAGGCATCATAGTCCTTTAAGTGATACATAAAATTAAATAACTCCTATAGGAGATAACATAGATGTGACCCTGGTATAGCAATGATATTTTCAGCTACAGCATTATAGGTGTAATCCATGAATAAAATAATTGATTAACAGTACTTTGCTGAGGCTTCTGTTCTACAAGGAACAATGTGAGAAAAGTAAGAAAGACATACATTGGGACAAAGTATTTGCAAAAGACACATCTGATAAAAGACTGTTTCCCAAAACTTTTTAAAAAAAAGTAATCTAATAAAAATGGGCAAAAGAGGGAGCTGGAGCGATAGCACAGCAGGTAGGGTGTTTTCCTTGCATGCGGCCAACCCGGGTTCGATTCCTAGGATCCCATATGGTCTCCCGAGCACCGCCAGGAGTAATTCCTGAGTGCATAAACCAGAAATAACCCCTGTGCAATCCCTGGTGTGACCCAAAAAGCAAAAAAAAAAAAATGGGCAAAAGACTATTCACAATAGCCAAAATCTAGAAACAACCCATGTGCCCAAGAACAGACTACTGGTTAAAGAAACTATGGTACATCTACACAATGGAATGTTATGCAAAAGTTAGGGGAAATGAAGTCATAAAATTTGCTTATAAATGGATGGACATGGAGAGTATCATGCTAAGTGAAATGAGTCAGAAGGAGAGGGACTGACATAGAACGATTGCACTCATTCGTGAGATGTAAGTAAACATAATATGAGACCAATACCAAGGACAGTAGTCAGGATGATTGAGCATGGTCGGAAGCCTGCTTCAAGTGCTTGGGGAAAAGGCACTTGGGGTAGAGAACAGACCACTGAGATAAAGACAGTTGATCACTCTGGTAAGAACTGCATGCTGAAAGTAGGTAAGGGAGCAAACATGATAACCTCTCAGTATCTGTATTGCAAACCGTAATCTCTAAATGGAGAGAGAGAGAGAGAGAGAGAGAGAGAGAGAGAGAGAGAGAGAGAGAAAGAGAAAGAGAGAGAGAGTGATGCTGGGGGAGGGGGGTAGCAAGAGGGAAACTCGAGTCATTGGTGGTGAGAAACGTGCACTGGTGGATGGATGAGCGTTGGATTATTGTATGACTAAAACCCAATCATAAACATCTTTGTAACTGTGTATCTCTTGGTGACTCGAAAAATACAGATTTTAAAATTTTAAAAATAAATTAAAAAAGATGAAAGGGAAAAATGGCAAAAGGATGCCAGAAGAAATAGTAGTGCAGGTAAGCTGCTTGCCCAGCATGCAACCTGCCTGAGTTCAATCCCTGGCATCTTATATGATACCCAGAACTCCACCAGCAGTGAGCTCTGAGTGTAGAGCCAGGAGCAAGTCACTGCCAAGTATGACCCAAACCCTTTCTGCCTACCGAAAAAATAAAGGGGGTGGGGGGCAGACACCCACCAAAAAAAGTATGTAGATGACATAGGTATATGAGAAATTTCTGTACCTTCCATTCAATTTTGTTGCAAACTTATTCTGAAATAAGGTTTTGTTATTTTTGGGGTTTTTTGTTTGTTTTTTCTTTTCCTGGTGGGGGAAGGATGGGCCATATCCAGCAGTGCCCAGTGACTGTTCCTGAGCCTGTGCTCAGGAGTAACCCTGGCAAGGCTTGGGTGACCATATGTGACAAAAATGATTCTGAAGATAAAGCCAGGGTTGGCGTCATATAAGGGAAGCCCCTTACCCCCTGTACTATCTCTCTGGCCCTTGAAAGAGTTTTGTTTTTGTTAATCACGTTTCTGCTCAACTCAAGGTCCTAATCATGGCTGACTATACACACTGATTTAGAAAATAACTGGGCAGTTTTAAGAAAGAGATCTAAAGCTTCTCATCAGGTCTCAGAGTGACCAAACTCTCACTGGTTCATATAGGTTTGAAATAGGCACCTAGTAAGTATTAGTCTTAGAGGAGAGAACTAAAAACATTAAAAATGTTATACATATGTATTTTTCACTGTTACTTTTGGGGAGAGCAGAGAGAAGGGGCAGAACCGGCAGTGCCCAGGGCTTACTCTTGGCTCTGTGCTCAAGAATCCATATGGTCCTCTGGGCTCAGGGGACCATCTTGATTAGCAAGGATTGGACCCAGGTCAGACATGTGTAAAGGAGATGTCCTAACGGCTGTGCTATCTCTCCTGCCCCATGGTGACATTTAAACAGAATAAACAGACTGAAAGTATTTATGTGCCCAGTATTTATAATTTATATTTATATTTATAATTTCATTGACCTCATAACTAAGTAAAGAGTAACTTGTTTAATAATGAAGTCCTAAAAGAAGAACTCTGAGGAATCTAGCAGTCATAGAAAAGGGAAGCACAACATCAGATTTAATCAAATAACTGAACTTTCTGATAGCTATGACCAAATGCTAATGACTGAAAGAAATTTTTTTACAAGTACTCAGTGAATGTTCAAAAACCATCTCGAATATGAGAGCATGTTAAATTCATTAGAAAGAAAGTAAAAAGGAAATGGAGGCAAGAAATACAATTAATTCTAAAATGCAAACTTAAATTGACTTAATAGTCCATCAACCTACTGCAGACAAACTTCTGAAATAGTTCATTATACCACTATGTTGGCCCTTTGGAAGAATCCAAAAGATAACATGACAACAGAGAACCTTTACTCCCTCAAGCAGTTACATATTTACAGTCCAGAGCTGGACATGAATACACACTATGTCAAAGAAAAATTTGACTTTTAGAATATTCCACATAATCATGCCTAGGAAAACAGCATGATGATGAAGCTGAACTATAACAAACCGTTGTCCAAATACAGGAACAACTCTGAACCAAGGGACTGCACCTGCTCCTGCCTTTTGTATGTAAGACAAACAAGGGAAACCCACAACCACAACTGACCAAGTGCGGTTGCACTCATCATGGGACTTCTAGAAAAGCATGTTTTTATGATAGAGATTTCAAAGATAATGAGCATTAAGTAATGTGCCAAGGAAATTAGGTACATCACACTTGAAGAGATATTCTGATTTCTCTTTTAAGTAAAATGTTAAGAGGTGAGTGCATAAGGCACTGATTAGGAAACTCTTCTAGTATAAGAAAGGAGAGTGGAAGGGAGGGGGAAAGAAGGGAGAGGAGAGAGAGAGGGGAGGCAATGTAGGAAGGGGAGAGAAATAAAAGGGAGAAGGGGAAAAAATTAAACTCAGTCTTTCTGTGAAGATACTTGGGCTCTCATTTGCTTCGAGAGGAAATTTACATGTCTGGGTGTACTGGTAGCACAGTGAAAATGAGAAGCTCAGGTATCTTCAACATTGTCTCAGAGAGTCTTCAATACTGTCTGACCAGCTTTTGTGTGCTCCTAATCAGCTCTATTCTAAGTTTCCAAAGAATTATTTAAAACTTTAACCTTTTTTTAATACTCTTCTAAATATTGACACAAACCACCACCTATAGTATCGTCAGCACTAGATGAGATCATGAGGATGGGGCTCTCATGTTAGGATTAGTGCCTCTAGAAGAAGTATTAGAATGAGGTTTGCAGAGTGCCATGGAGAATACAGTCAGAAGTCAGTCATCTATGAGACACCAGAAAAAGAACTCTCACAAGAAACACATAATAGCTACTTATATTTAGACTTCTAAATGGTAAGAAAATAAACTGGTCTTGGGAGAAGGGGGGGCACACCCAGTGGTTCTCAGGCTTACTTATGGCTCTGTGCTCAGGAATCTCTCCTGTGGTGCTCAGGGGACCATAAGTGGTGCCGGGGAAGGAAATGGGGTTGGCTGCATGCAAGGTCTCGGTCCCTGTAGTATCTCTCCAGTCCATTAATTTTTTTCAAAGCTCCCTAGTCTGTGGCATTTTGTTAGAGAAATCTGAATTGACTAATTCAGAATTACACTTACAGTTCCACCCACCTTTATTCAATAGTAATATTTTTAAGTTGAATAATGTATTAGTTTTGAGGTTTGTCTTTTTTTAATGCTACTTTCAAAATAATTTCAGAAAGGAAAGAAGAATAAAAGAGAGGAATTACATCACAAACAGGGATAGAGGAGTCTATGGAAGTGCATCGTCAATTTAGCAAAAATGGAATAAAAGATACTTACCACCACCAAGAATGTAAGAATCCTGGTGGTTCCCCCAAAGTGATGTTTTTTTCCCATCTTATCTAAAACAAATAAAAGAGATGTTAAATACTTTCTAACAACACATTTTTTCTATTCATAATACAAAGCAACATTTTCTCAGTGAAAAACATAAGATAATATGAGATTTTACTTATTTACATATTTCTTTTTTTACTCCAGTTTGACATAATGATTTGTTGATTGGAGAGTCTGTGAGAAAAAGGGCCAAGTTATTCTAAATTTATTCCCATATGCCAGAATTTCAAAAGGCATTTCAGGATGTTAAAGTACATCAAAATGCCATTGTTAAAAAGTTAAAATTTGAAAGTCAGCTATCATTACTTGGAAAGAGACTGAGTTTAATAAATTGTGATTTAGAAATTACATTTCCTAGTAAGCTCTTTATAGGAGTATTCCATAAAATAAAAGTTTTAAAAGGATGATGACATTAACATTACATTCTTTTAATATTTTGTATGTTCAAGTTCACTATAAAATTTTTTTCAAACAAGGTTAATATCTCCTCCAAATCAAATATTCTAAAATCAAAAGTTGTAACTAAATGCTTTTTATGAAGTAAATGCAGAAATTGGAAAGTTGAGTGGTTGACATTATATAGCTGTAAAACAAAAGATAAAAATCTTTGCATTAAGAGAAGAAAGAAGGTTTTATGTTAGCAGGAAAAAAACAGATGATAAATAGAAAAGCTGCACGCATATTTAGGCAAAAAAAGAAAGAAGGAATGTACTTATACTAGAAGTCAATGGTGTTAAATACTATAATCTATAGAGAAAAACAAAATAGGAAAACAGGAATGGTTATAATTTTAACATGCTCCAGAAAGGCCTCAAACCCAACAATCTTTTTGTGTAACAACACTGTTTAATATTTTAGCATAAATAATTTAAAACTATTTAACAACACTCCAATCAGCAAAATAGGATTACTCAACTGCTAAGATATTTTTTAAAAATTAATTCTCTTTCTGTCACCACAAACACGGAAGAAGTTAAAATTCTTGATTTTTAAATTTAAATTTTTTATTTTTTAAAAGTTCTGAGGCTCAGGCATCATACCTGCTGATGTTCTGAGGAACAGAGTGGTGCCTGGGTGACCATATGTGGTGGCAGCAATCAAAATCCAGTTTGTCACATGCAAAGCAAATGCCCTACCCACTGTACTACTTCACTGACTCAAAATTAGGAATTCGTACTACAAAAATATTTTTAATGTTTTACAATAAGACCTCAAAAATTGATCCTGAAGTTATATTTTTTAATTAAAAATAAAGGGAAAAAATTCTAAAGAAGATGTTGGAAAAACTCAATTGCACTTTATTGTGCTTAAAAGAAGTACAGTTAAAAACCACTAAACTGGTAGCACATTTTAGAGTTTATAGGTATAAACATGTAAACCATTGAAAACCCTTAAAATAGACAAATACTGGGCTCTGAAAACATTGAAGAAAAATTTTCTGAAGAGTAGAAAGTATGTGACAGTCATTTTTAAAAGAGCTAAAATGAGAAATTCCAAGAATTAAAGAACTTAAAATTGCTAGGACTTCCCTATAAGGATACCCTTGACATATTTCAAAGAAATAGACCTCTAATTCCATCAAAAAATGGGGAGAAGAAATAAATAGAAACTTCTTCAAAAAAGAAATTCAAATGGGCAAAAGGCACATGAAAAAATGCTCTACATTGCCAATCATCAGAAAGATGCAAATCAGAACAACAATGAGGTATTCCCTTACACCACAGAAACTGTCACATGTAAGTAAGAACAAAAACAACCAGTGCTGGTGGGGATGCAGGGAGAAAGGGACTCTCATTTTTGGTGGGAACGCCGACTGGCCCAGCCTTTTTTGGAAAATAATATTGACATTCTTCCAAAAACTAGAAATTGAGCTTCCATATGATTCAACAATACCATTTCTCAGAATATATCCCAGAGATAAAAAAAAGAAAAAACCCGCAGTAGAAATGGTATCTGCATGTGTATGTTTATTGCAGCACTATTCACAATAGCCAGAATCTGGAAAAAAACTCCACCACCCCAAAACAGACAACTGGTTAAAGAAACTCTGGTACATCTATACAATGCAGCTGTTAGAAGAGATGAAATCATGAAATTTGCATATAAACGGGTGGACATGGAGAGTATCATGCTAAGTGAAATTAGTCAAAAAGAGAGGGACAGACATAAAATGACTCCACTAATCTGTGGAATACAAAGTAACATAATATGAGACTAACACCTAAGGACAGTGGAGATAAGGGCCAGGAGGATCACAACACAGTTTGGAAGTGGGCCCCATGTGCTGGGGGAATAGGCAGTTGGGACGGATGGAGAAGGAACCACTAAGTAAATAATGATTGGAGGAATCACTCAGGATGGGAGATGTATGCTGAAAGTAGAGCAAGGACCAAACATGATGGCCTCTTAGTACCTGTATTGCAAATCTTAACACCCAAAATTAGAGAGAGAGTTAGAAGGATTGTACCTGCCAAAGAGGCAGGGAGTAGGATGGGGAGGGGGTGGCGGAAAGGACACTGGGAACAATGGTGGTGGAAAATGTGCACTGGTGGAGGGATGGGTGCTGGAGCATTGTATGGACTGAAATGTAATAACGCAAGTTTGTAACTGTATCTCACAGTGATCCAATAAAACTTATTAAAAAAAGTTGAGAAGACTAAATATGCACAATGAGCCAGAACATGGTCTATAGAAGTAAGCCAGGTCTTAATTTGAATTCTTCTACATAGTAAGACAAAGAATATTTACATTTATAATATTATTCTTAAACTGACATTTCAGTTGATAAAATATTTATCTTCTAAATTCATAAAAAAATAAGGAATAGTACTAAGTGAATCTTTTAAAAATAAAATTGATATCCTGCTAAAGTTGTGATTCAGTAAAAATTCTTTATCTCATCTTTCAATCTTTTCTCTTACTTCTTTCATTAGTTGATATCTTCTTGAAAGGAAATAAGAATGGAATTTCCCAAACATGCCCCTCAATACTGAAATCCCTAATCTTTGAAATTATTCTAATAATATGACTAAATTTTAAAAAGTAGCATCCTTACATACAACTTAATTCATTGTGACTTTACATGACATGACTGTAAACTAAAGCAAACTGTACAAGCTTCAATTAAAACAAAAAGAATATGTGAGGTCTCAGGGAAGAGCTGGTGGCATGCACAATCTCACAGCAGACCCCAGAGGTTGATCATATTCACTGTCTAGTGAACTGTCTCCACCACACAGCAGTTACTCAGCAACCTCTCTCCTACACTTCCACAACCAATCCTCAGCTATTTCAGATGATGGTGTACCCTAAGAAAATATCTATGCAATTTATATTTGGTAGACCATTTAGGCACACGGAAAAGCCTGGCAAGCTACCCGTGACATATTTGATATGTCAAACACAGTAATAAGTCTCACAATGTTACTGGGCCCACTCGAGCAAATCGATGAACAACGGGAGGACAGTGACAGTGACAGTGAGACCATTTAGGAGAGAAAGTCTGAAGGTAGTCCATTTGTATTTTAAACTGGATTGTGTCTTACTATTATTTAGAGAAACTCAAAGTGCTTCATATAAATGACCTTTTTCATCCTTAGAACCCGGCAAGCTACCGAGAGTATTCTGCCAGCATGGCAGAGCCTGGCAACCTATCCGTGATGTATTCGCTATGCCAAAAAATAGTAACAAGTCTCACAATGGAGACATTACTGGTGCCCACTCGAGCAAATCAATAAACAATGGGAGAACAGTGACAATGACAGTGATTATATTCTATATTCATAATGAGTACAGATCATCTTACTCTTTTGAAATTGCAAATCTGTGGCTGAAGCCACTAGCACTTTTGGTCTATCATACTGAAGTTAACACAAAATCTATCCTAATCACTGAATCAGTAGCAATGAATGATTTGGGTATTTCCAAAAAGGAAATGGTACCACATAGGAATAAGTTTCCAGAGCAAATAACATTTTTTTTCAAATTAATATTCTAAAAAATTACATTTTTATAGAAAGTAGAAGATAACACTCAGAAAAATAGAACCCCAATTATAGAAAAGCAAGGAATATTCTTTTCAGCATTATTAAAAACAAGAAAAACTAGAACAACCTGAGAATTGCCAATAGTGAAAGTAAAATAAATTTTTAGACGTACTACAGAATAGCATAGAAAATTGTACAGTCACTAAAAAATGGGAGATAAGTCTACATAGGTAGAGGAGCACATTGATTAGTTTTTTTTTTTAAGTTAGAAGTTTGGAATACTGGAGTATCTAGAAAGTATGAGACTTTTCTGTTTTAAAAATGTAGTGATCCTGATGCATATATTTAGGTATATACAAATTAAAGAAACCACACCAAACTTACTGTCTCTGAAAAAGACTATGAGAATATTCTCTCTTCAGACTCGCTTGATAGAGCAGCGTGGGTAGGGTGCGCACCTTGCACGCAGCCAATCTGGGTTTGATCACCAGAACCCTGTGCCGTCCCTCAAGCCCTCAAGGAAAGATCCCTGAATGACAAGTCAGAAGTAAGCCCTGAGCACAGCTGGGTGTGGCCCGAATGTAAAAACAAAATAATTTTTTCTCTTTATAAATCATAATTATCTAAGCAGGTAATATGTTGATTACCCGCTTTTTTGGACATACCCAGGGGAGCTCAGGTCACACTTCTGACTCAGCTCTCAGGGACCAATCCTACTGGGCTCTGTCTCCATAAGGGGTGCCAGGGATTGAACTTGTGTTAGCGGGGCACAAGGCAAATGCCCTACTCACTGTACCATCTCTTCAGCCCCAATGTTCTTTCATAACAGCAAACATGCATTAAAGATTGATGGCACTGAGGAATTGCCAGAACTTACCTCTAAATGTCAAAAGTCTTTTTTTCTTTTCCTTTGGGGTCACACCCAGTGATACTCAGGGGTTGTTCCTGACTCTGCACTCAGGAATCACTCCTGGAGGTGGTCAGGGGACCATATGGAATGCCGGGGATTGAACTTGGGT